CTGCCCAGGGAGGTGGTGGAGTCACCAACCCTGGAGGTGTTTAAAAAAAAAGTAGATCTAGCACTTGAGGCTGTGGTGTAGTGGTTGGGGGTGCTGGGATGAAGGTTGGACTAGATGATCTTCAGAGGTCCCTTCCAACCCCTGACATTCTGTGATTCTGTGAAAACCACCGAGTCCTTCTCCCACCGTGCAACTCCCCCTTCCTGTCCCGCAAAGTGTTTTACTGGCTTAGGATGTTTTGCATTTAGAAAACGAGGCTGAATAAGTTACTGAGAGAAGGCAAGAAACTTCAAGGACGGGGAAAAGGCCAATGAAGTTTCCAAAGAATCATAGAATTGTCAGGGTTGGAAGGAACCTCAAAGATTATCTGGTTCCAGCCCAGAAGAGGCCAACTTGGCAGCAGAACTCCGAGTCTAGTTATCCTCAAGTGCCCTGCCTTCCCTAGAATCCTAAAAATCACATCCATGGGTCAAAAAGATCCTTCCCCGACCCAAGACCCTTCCCCTGAGCACATGCACAGGTCAAACTACGTCGCCAGTGCATATTATGCAATTTTATGTGATTTCCCAGCCAATCATCGCAAAGGGGGGGCGTATAATCTCGTAACTTTTGTGTATAAAAAGAGTAGGGGGGCTCGCGCTCGATTGGAAATCCACGAGCACACGCAGGACTGAGTTAACCCGAATAAATTCGCAATATCTCTCCTGAGCGTGTGAGGACTGACTTACTGCACACCGGGTGACAAATCCCCTTTTTTGGATAACGTTTCCATCAGCTGAGAGACCTTTTGAACAGCCCCCGAAGAGCTGGACACGCACCCACGGAATTGCAAACTGTTCCCTCCCTTATAAACTTTCCTTTCGAGGTCTTTGCTTTGTGAATTTTCTTTTCGCTACACAGAGACAGGAGATCCAGAGGAACAAAACCCCAAGGGTCCTCCTTCGTTCTGATTAGTTCGGTAACAATCCTGTGAGGCAATCAAAAGTGGCTTGGGGGAAAGAAATTAATTTCCACAGAGAGGCAAGAATGTTTTAAAAAAAACCCACTAATAAAATCTGTATTTTCAAACAAATTAAGCCATTGAGCTACCTTGCAAAAAAGCAGGAAT